AGGAACGGCACGAGATGATGGACGGGAAAGGAAACCGACAACAACCTATATCGACGACGCGACAAGTTTTTTTTTTTTTTTGGGTTTCGGGAGCAGACGGAGGGAAGAGAGAGGATGGCTAGACGAAAGGTTTTTTAGCGGGGAAAGTGGCCAAATATTCTCCGAAAATCATTCCCTATCAATCCCGAAGATCGCGTGTCATCGTACGTGGCTTGGGGAGTGAGCTAATCCAGTGCGACACCTCCTTTTTTTTTGCCCCAAATGAATATCAGCCACCAAATCAATAAGAAGGGGGATCTAGGGGTGGGAAGCGAAAATCACATCCCTCCTATGAGAAGTGATGCTATCTAATCACCCTCAAACCTATAATGAGTCCAAAAATTTCATAAAGGAGAACCACAATTACCTCAAATCCAAAAAAAAGAAAGTCATACAAATTGAAACATTAGCGTCATAAAAGAAGTTTAAAAATAAATAATATATTCGACGACCCTTCTACGTTATGCAAGTTTATGAACCATATATTATTGTAAATAACAAATGTATAAAGAATGAAATAAGATTATTTTAACTTAGTTCAATATTAAAACTATTATTTTTTCAAATATTTATCTTTGTGATATACTGATATTCCGTTTGCTAGTAATTAATAAATTAGAGGATTTCCATTTCTCCCATTTCCTATTCTGAGATTCCGCCTCCCATCCCAGTTCTCTTCATATTCCCCAGGCCCCTCTCACCCACCGCCTGCGCAGGAGGGAGAAGATAAAAAAATATCTCTGCCAAACTTCTTTCCTTCTTCCCTCCTGCTCTCAGTCGAGCGAGCTCGCCGACTCTGCAACTCTCTGCAGGTAGCAAAACGGGCGCCGAAGTAGTAGCGGCAGAAGAGAAGGAGAAAGAAAGATCCATACTCTGTTTTCTGCAGCTGCTGATTTACCTTGGATTGCCTTTCTTCCCTCAGCTAATCTCCTTCCATATTCTCCGGTAAGTAGAAGAACCGCTCTCACTGACTCTTCTTTCTTTAAGCTTCAATCTCTTCCGTTTCTGCCGATTTTTAGCTTTCAATCTCTTCCTACGGCGAAGCCCCTGGCTGCTTGCTTCGTTTTGGCTTTTCGAATCACCGCCGGCTACTTCGGACTCGGTTTTTTTGGTTTACAATTCGTTATCGGTACTTTCGTTGAGCGCTTTTCCTGTGTCGAGTTCCTTCCTTGCTTCTTTTGATTTTGATTTCCGGCTTCGTCGGAAAATTCTAGACTGAAGTCCGAAAGTGGGGAAGATGTGAAGTGCTTGATTTTAGGATTGGTATTAATTGCAGTTCATGCTCATTGAATAATTCCGTCAGTAGATATCGATAGTAGTTGCACTTTTTTTTATTATATCCCCCAATATTTGCTTAATTGCCGTCCAGTCCAGTGACGACTTCTGCGGGATTTCATGAGGCGTACTGGATTTTTCCATTTCTATGGTGCTTCCGTTGACTAAAATATTGACTGTACCATGCCTTCTCCTTCTCAACCTCAAGCCACAAAAAGTAACGTAACGTCTCTGTTTCTTATTTATTTATTTATTTATTTATTATTATTATTATAATAAAAATAGGTTGTTGTCGACTTGTCGGTCATATGATGGATTGTTTTGTGAGTATATTGTAATTTTCCTTGCAATTCGTTAAAAAGGACTAGGACTCTAGGAGTAGGAGACCACACATTCAGCTAACATCTATTGATTCCTTGAGATCTCAAATCTGGTCCCTGTTATTTGTGTTTTGAACACATCAGCCCCCCCTACAATTTGCAGGCCGTGTTTGGATTTAGGGATAGTACCCAAAAAGTGATCCTAAATATCGCGTATCTTTGTTCGTCTGAATAAACATAAGAAAACAAAAAGGATGACAAAATTACACCACCTTAAGTTGAGAACAGAAATACGGCAGCCCGTTCAGAGAAAAAAGTGCGAATGCATTATTTTTGGGAGTTGCTATTCGTCGTCCTATTATTACTATTTGTCGTCCTAAGTTCAATATATATTTACTATTTTGTCCAATCTTAAATTTGAAAGTAAATCAGCAAACAAACTCTAGCCATACCATTACCACCTACCTCCCGTCTCTCTGATTCTCGCTGGAAACCATACCCCCGCGTTAGCTTCCTCCTGCCGGTCCACCTCCACCGACTGCCGCCGACGAACAAGGCAGTGCGCCGTCTGAAATGCGACGACCTGTGACGAACCAACCTCGACCCATCGTAGGACTACGTGAGGAACCAGCTGCTGCGCCATAGCCACCCTTCGCAAAACGTGTCCTCCCTCCTCAAGACCAGACTCCTTCACCGACCGAGAAGAGAAAATAGCTCGTTGCCTACCATGCTCCTACCGTCCCTTCTCGCCGAAGAAAACGACCGGGAAAGGTAAGAGCGGGCGAAATCCCTCCCTCAGTCGGTTGACCATTGGTCAACACTCAGAATCCGTCAAAACCTCTATTTTATCGCTGGTCGGAACGCAGCATAGCAGACTCTTATCCCGTGGTTGAAACGCAACGACGCACTCGTTCGACCGTTGGTCAAAACGCAGTTGTTTGACCACGGGCTGAAACGCAATAACAGATTAACCAATAACCACGAGTCGAAACGCTGCAACACACTCGTTTAACCTTTGGTGAAAACGCAGCTTCAGTATGTTTGACTGTCGGTCCAAAACGGGCTTTGACGCGCGTTTGACCGTGGCCTCTCACTAACCACTATCGCCAGCGATTATCTGAGCGAGGAAAGGAGTATTTTTGATCAACGGCTACTGGTAGGCACTCAATCGAGGGAAGGACGAAACGACGACGGTGAAGGAGGAAAGCAACGACGGTTTGGTCCGGCGAGTTGCCCGCGATTGACAGGAGCTCACGCTGCCTCTGTTTTCGGTGAATTTCTGACGGTGAAGGAGGGAGCTGATGAAGGATTATGGTTTCAGTTGTTCGTTCCTTGGCTCGGTGAGACAGAAGTGAGGGCAGGACGACTAGACACTCGGACAGCTCGGGCCGGAGGAAGACAGCTCGTCGTCGGGATGTACGGGATGGAAGGGATGGGCTCCAGTGTCACTTGCAGGGTGAGATGGGAGGAAAGAGGAGGATGGGCGCCGGCGGGATGGGAGGGGATGGACGCCGGTGTCTCTTGCATGGGAGAGGATCGGCGCCGGAGTTTGTCGTGGGTTCAGAGGAGAGGTGGGAGGAGAGACTACCGAGCAGCGGTGGAGGGGAGATGTGAGAGGAGAGAGGAGATAAGGTTTGTTAATTTTTAGGGTGTGTTTGTCTTAGTGATAATTTGAAATTTAGTTTTGGACAATTACGTAAATTGCGTATTAAAATTAGGACGATGCATAGTAATTTTAGGACGACATTTAGCATTTCAGTTATTTTATAGGAGTCCTTTTCGTGGATCAGTGACAAATGACAAAATTTTAAACGAAGAATATTCAGAGCTCTTTTTTCTTTCTTGATGACAACCTCTTGGCTATTTGCTAAAGCTACAGTATTACCTGTGCATCGGTTGATAAGTATATGGCTGTCCGTCACTTTTAAATGCTGCTGCTGTTTTCCTAGCTAGGGTCGCTGCTGCTGTAAGCTGCTTAAAGTAGGCTCTTTCTCTTTACTGATAGATAAAAACAAAGTCACTCTTAGGCCTTAGCTCTCGCATCCATTTTTTTTTTTTTACTTTTGTGGCAGGGAACGAGATTCTGCTAGATTCCAGCCAGAATTGTACGAACGAATTTGTGCAGAAAAGGTTCAGTTTTTTTTCTTCTAAAAAGACTGGAAGAGAATAGGGCTGGGCATGCGGGCGGATCATCCGCGGGTTTGGGCCGACCCACCCGCATTTGACCCGAATTTCGTTAAATGGGTGGGTCTGTGGGTGGGTGACGGGTTGCGCTGGGAGCCATCCGCCGGGTGGTGGGTGAGTGTGCGGGTGACCCGCTCAACCCAACAGCAAAAAAATCAAAGTCGTTGGCGCTAGAGAGAGGAGAGTGGAGACGTTAGATATAAACTCGGATTGCTCCTGGAGTTTGAACCTCAAAGCCAACCTTCCAAAAAGAGATCCCCTCTTCTTCCCTTTACTTTTTCCTCTAATTCTTGTGCCTAGATCACCGCTCTTTCCTTTGTGGAATTATTTTCCTTAGTTCCTTGCACCTAATAATCGTCTCAATATGTAGAAAACTCTTTCATAATAGAATTTTTGTCCAATTTAATAACTAATTCAACATTTTTCGCCTTATTTCAACTTCTGGTTTCCCTCGATGATTCTCTTCACCTATTATCATGTCAAGTTGACTCCTTTATATTATATGCATTGTGATGTGGGTGAACCCACAAACCCACCCACATCATCCACCATCCACCCGACCCAACCCGAGACTAAATGTGGGTGGGTGGTGGGTTAAAAATTATCAATCCGTTTAAGCGCGGGTGGGTGCATTTTATGGTCAAAATCCACCCGACCCACCCAATGCCCACCCCTAGAAGAGAAGGTAGGCCTAGTGGTAATTTTAGGGTAAATTTTTTTTTACCACTATGAACAATTGTCTAGAAAAAGAATCTTAAACCATGAGATGCTTGTTGTCTGGTTTGTTTATCTTTGGTTAGGGTCGGTTTTGTAAAAATGTGTTTTTTTGTGTGTGTGTGTGAAGAAGATTGATGAGTTAATTTATAATATGCTGGGGAGTTGAATGAAATCATTATCATCTCTAGATCTTGACAGGCGGAGAATGCCGGAAAGCGGATGTCAGCTAAGCCGCCGGGTCCTTTTTGCAACTATTTTAATTACCACCATGTGAACACAATTATATCACGCGTAACCCTAACCTACCTAACCCACCTCGCCCTACAAACTTTACAAATATGCTTCAATAATTGAACATAAAGGGCCCTGGCTTACAATTAACAGAAAAAAGAAAAGCTGGCTTGTTTCTACAATCCTGCCTTCTATCTATCATTCAACTGTCTGTTTGACAGTAGCTTTTGTTAGATGCGATCTAAGTCTAATGCTCAACTGCTCACAACATCTTGTGAGCACGCATTTATAGAGGTTGGTTGTTGTCTGGGGGTCGGACTCGGACACAAAGCTAAGCTTTTGTGGTTGTTGGATAGACACTATGATAATTTATTTTCAAAATTCTCACTGCTTTCATTTAAAAGTTAGGATTCTCTTTGCACTCGATCAATGACTCACATCCTCTTCAAGCACGTGCTCATAGATCGTCTTGTGAGCACTATAACCGGATTGTGATAGATGACTAACGTCATTGTTTCCATAAACGAATAAGTAATGTAGATGCTATTTCGTGAATTTTTCTCTTTTCTCATGCGATTCTTCAAGTTTTGTATGTTGGGTCCATCCATAAAAAACTTCACTTTCTTCTCCCATAACAACTTTTTTTATTCGGTGGAAGAACAGATGGTGATAATACGGGAAGAGAAAAGCATGTACTGATAGAGAGAACAACCAAAATGCATTTAATCCCCCCCGGCCCTCTCATTTTCTTCTGTTTTTAGCTTCTAGCCAGGGTTCTTGTTCAAGGAATGTAGTTCCACATGAAATGAAAGGTAGAGTAGAAGATGAACACTCTCACTGTCACTATCCGTGTTATATTTTACATTGAGGGGCAACCCTTTTTCTGGGGGTTTTTTTTTGGTCTCTTCCGTCCTATTTTGTTGAGTGTTCATTATTTATGAACGTTCTTACCTACTTTTCCCGTTTCGTCGTTCCTTTTGGAACCTCCCTTATTGTTTTTCCCACCATTTTTGGGTTTGTCCCGGTGGCTTCAGAGGTTGTTAGGGTGTGAACGTGGACTCTGACTCTGGGTTGTTGGAAAGTGGAAAGCATGTCAGCGGCAGCTGTGGATTTGTTTGGGGCTGTGCCTGTGATAGGAAAACACCAAAAACCATTTCACTTCCCATTTCCCACCTACCGTAAATGTAACTTGTTTTAGTTGTTTATATTTCCTAGTTGATTAACATGTGATCTTGTATTCTAAGGTATATATGCATGTCCTGTTATGGTCTCTAATTGAATAATATATCTGCTTTGATTTCGGTCATGTGTTGATTTTGGGTTTAGAGCCCAAGCTTTAAGGAAGCAGGGTTCTGGCTGACTGCTAAGTGTGTTGTGGCGATGGCGGGGGAGGAGATTAACCAGAAGCTTTTGACAAAAACTGTTGAGGCAGAAGTCGAGGAAATACCCTTGAAGTCCAAGATATGGACGGAGGCCAAGAAGATGTGGATTGTGGCTGCCCCAGCTACCTTCACCAGGTTCTCTACCTTCGGAATCAATGTCGTCAGTCAGGCTTTCATTGGTCATATCGGGTCGACTGAACTCGCTGCTTATTCCCTTGTCTTCACTGTCCTCCTGAGATTCGCTAATGGTGTCCTGGTGATTATCTCTCTCTTTTTCTCTATCTATTCTGCGTCTCCACGGTCAAGTTCTTTTTTTATACTGAAGGTGGGTTTTATGCTTTACAGCTGGGAATGGCTAGTGCATTGGAAACTCTTTGTGGGCAATCATTCGGCGCGAAGCAGTACCACATGCTGGGAGTGTACCTGCAGAGGTCGTGGATCGTTTTGATCATGTGCGCGACTCTGATGCTTCCGATATTCATCTTCACCACTCCACTCCTGGAGTTACTGGGCCAAGAGGCTTATATCGCAGAAGTTGGAGGAACTATTTCACTATGGTTGATCCCAGTGATGTTCGCCTCCATTGCTTCCTACACCTGCCAGATGTTCCTTCAGGCACAGAGCAAGAACGTGCTCATTGCATATTTGGCTGCAGCTTCCATGGCCATCCACTTGGTCCTTTCCTGGCTGTTGACCATAAAGTACAGGTATGGGATCCCAGGAGCAATGATATCCACGATTCTAGCTTATTGGATCCCCAATATAGGTCAGCTCTTCTTTGTTACTTGTGGTGGTTGCCGTGAGACGTGGAAGGGTTTATCGTTCTTGGCATTTAAGGATCTGTGGCCTGTTGTCAAACTCTCTGTTTCATCTGGTGCCATGCTTTGGTACGTTTCTTGTTGTCATTTTCGTCCACTGCTGTAGGTCTTTATTTACTTCTGGTAGCGATCTTGAATTATGTATGTTGTTTATTTGACACAGCCTTGAGCTCTGGTACAACACAGTGCTAGTGCTTTTAACAGGGAACATGGAGAATGCCGAGGTTGCTATCGATGCTCTTGCTATCTGGTAGTTCTCTGCTCGAGATTTCTGCTCTCCGAAACTTCTCTAGGTGTTTCTGTTTATGCCTAGCTAAAAAATGGTTCACTTGTCTGGGTTTTCTGCAGCCTCAACATCAATGGATGGGAGATGATGATCTCACTTGGTTTCTTAGCAGCGGCCAGGTATGTTTTATCACCGGAACGCCTATTCTAACACAATCCTTTCGAATTTAGAATTTGAAATTCATTGACTCCTGTTTTCGAGCATGATATTTCAGTGTGAGGGTGTCAAATGAGCTCGGGAGGGGCAACGCCAAAGGCGCCAAGTTCGCCATTGTGATGACAGTTGCAACCTCATTCATCATTGGAGTAGTGCTATTCCTAGTGTTCCTATTCTTGAGAGGGAAGGTTGCTTATTTGTTTACGGAAAACGTGGAAGTAGTCCGTGCTGTCTCCGATCTCTCACCACTACTGGCCTTCTCCATTCTCCTCAACAGCATTCAACCCGTCCTATCTGGTAAATTTCCTAGAGACTTTCACTGCTGATGAAGAATCTGGTAAATCTTTTTAGAGCTGAAGTGAACTAACGGAGATCCCAATTTGTGTATAAACTATAACCAACAGGCGTTGCTCTTGGAGCTGGATGGCAGAGTATTGTTGCATACGTCAACATAGCTTGCTATTACCTTGTTGGTATCCCAGTTGGAGTTGTTCTTGGATATGTGTTTGACATGCAAGTCAAAGTAATTAACCCTTTTCTCTCTTTCCTCTCTCCCTTCAGACAGAACGGTAACTATTCCTTGAAGTGTTAAATTAACAATTCCAATGTCAAATTTCCAGGGTGTCTGGATTGGAATGCTGTTTGGAACATTTATCCAAACAATCATTCTCATTGTGATCACCTACCGAACTGACTGGGACAAACAGGTACCCTAATCCCTGAATCGTTTTGTAGTTTGGCTTCTAAATCTGTATCTGAACCTGATTTTACCAATCCTTTGATGTTGTGCAGGTTCTTCTTGCTCGCAACCGTGTCAACCGGTGGTACACACCAGTAGCAGAACCCGAGGAGCAAAGTTTGGTGTCTTCCTAGGTTTCAACTACCAGTAGAAACTAGTAACTTAGATTGTTGTGTGGCAAATTCATCCCATCTAGTCCAAGCCTCTCTTCACCCTTCCATCCTAATTTTGCACTTTTGTTACTGCAGAGTAACAAAAAGATCTGTAGACTAGTAGTATCTCCATTTCCCATTAATGGCCAAAAAAAATTGTATCACATCCTAATGTTACAGTCATGCCTGTTTCTTCCCGCATTCTCAATTCTATGTCACAATTCACAAATGTTAAATCGACAAAAAGAAGAAAAAGAAATGCTCTAACCAACTTCACTGTTCAGTTTCACCAAAAGTTCTTCGGCGTACGTATATGATGCCTAGATCGCCGTCCTGCTCCTCCACCCCTTCCACCATCTCTATGAGTGTCGGTAACAGCAAACCGCGAGTATCTCCTAGCCCTGTTTATCTTCATCCTTATGCCCGGAACCTTTCTCCCTACCGCCTGCCATATCATTTGTACAGCATCTCCTTCCACCGAAGGGTACTGGAACTGAAAGAACCGCTCGACTTCCTTCAACCTCGTCCACATCCTAGTCCATTCCTCTTTCTTGATGCTCCGGATGAAGTTGATCAAGAACTTCTCCTTGACTGCGTCGGACGTCTTGACGAACACACAGAATTCTGAGTAGTCCAGGACGTCCTCGTAGGGGAGCTCGATCTCGTCGCTGATGATCACCGGGACACAGTGGCTGGCAATTGCGTCAAAGAGCCGGTTCGACGAGGGTGTGTCGCCGGCTATGTTGAGGCAGAATTTGGACGAGTGCATGCCTCGAGATGCCTTGTGGATGCCGTCTTTCTTTACGCTACCGAATTGGAAATGCACGTCTTTCTCGTCCTTCAGCAGGTAGAACAGCTCTTGCCTCGCCAGTCCACCCTGCACAAAGTTTTAAACGAACATGTGAATTTCATATCTTTGTTACTTTGATTTAGATTTAAATGTTGACTCTATATGCTTTCAGTCTAGTTTCAGATCAGATTGGATTGACTAGCTGAAGCGCATAGTGAAAAAAACTGGAAAATGAGGGAAAGGAAAGGAGAGGAAGATGAACTCACATCTTTCCTGTAAATGGCACCCTGGAAATAGAGCAAGGTGGGTCTGGTGTCAAACTCCGAACTATCATTCACATAGCTCTTAATAACATGCTTGTAAGGCGCAATCACATCCTTCTCCACATTCGCCACATTGGGCGGATACCTCCCGAAATCCGACAACACAAACATCGCCGGCCACAGCTTCATCCTCGCACTCAGCATACTATTGGGGTGGTGTGCCATCACCAGATGGTCCCTCCCGCCGGACCTCTTCCACTCCGGCTGCGACGTCACGTACTTCACCACTTTGTCCTGCAACACGTTGTTCCTGCTCTTCTTCTGGTGCGGGTTTACCTTGGAGTACCTGTTGTAGCTCAGTGAAGAGAAGAATGGCACGAATAAGACGTCCGCCTCGCTCGAGTTGCGAACTCGAATCGCGCTCCCAGCTCGAGGGATCTCGGGGAATTCAGAGGCTAGGAGGTCGAGTGTTAGCCAGTACTCTATGCTGTGTTGCAGATTGAGCCCGCCTGGGTAGCCGGGTATGTGGGATTTTATGTCGGGCCAGACTCGGCCCGGCTCCTCCGGCTTCCAACCCAAGAGCTCGAAGTGGAATTCCGGCGGCATGTCGTACATGTAAACCTTCAATTGCTGCTGTTGTGGTGGCTTCAGGCTGCTTTCAGCATTGCATTTCACATCACCATTGGTGCTAGTAGCTCTGATTTCGGGTCTAATTATGGGCTTATCTTCGTTCACGGGCTTGGGTCCGGCGTCTAGATTGGTGGTGGTGGAGACGATGTTGTTGATTTGTTCTGGTTTTGTGTCGTTGTCGACGAGGATTGCGCGTGCTCTGGTGGAGAAGGAGCTGGGAGTGGAGAGCTGTTGTTGGAGGGGGATGTCGCTTTTGACGACGGAAAGAGTGGTGACTGTGGGTAAAAATGCGTGGTCGAGGAAGCTTGGGCGGGCGGTGGAGGACCGGACGACGACGAACCAGGAGAGCAGGAACACGGCGGAGATGAACGGGAATACGCCGAAGAAGAGCTTTCTTGCCGCGATACCCATTGACGTGCCGCCGCCGTGTCTGTATTCCCCCATCGGAGAGGAACAAAAAGCACCCGGAGTTTTACAATCTCCCAGAAAAGAGAAACCTCTACAAAGGCGACGGCCGGTTCTTCTGTCCGGCGAGTTGAAAATTCTGTCAGACGCGATTCAATGGCATTTCGACGAAGAGACTCGAGAATCCAACGGAAACCCAGATGAGAGAATCGGTTTCTATGTAGAACCCAGAAACGGGGGAAAAAAAAACGAATTATGCAGCTCTGATGAACAGAGAGAGCATTAAATGAAGCGATGCAGAGCAATATACAGAGTGTGAAGAGAACCCAAATAGGCTGCAGATTGCTTCTTCCTCGTAAAAGAAATTGGGCGTCTGCTGCTTGATTCTTGGTGTTTTCTTCTGTTTGGTGAATTTGATGGATAGAAGAACTCTGCTGGGATTAGGAGGGAAGAAGGCGGAGGAATAGGAGCTCCCTACTCCGAATCGTTGGCTGGTGGAGGTGGTGCCGCCATTTTCGTTTTCCCTCTGATCTATTTATGGTTTTTTTATTTTCCCGGTTTATGTTGACTTCTGCAGTTCTACGACTCATTAATTAAAGAGAAGAGTAAAATTAATAACGAGGCGACAGGAGACACGGCCTAGAATCAAACAAACAGCAATCATTTTTCTACTCTCGTCTGGTAGATCCTGGGAACTAAATCTAATCAATCAGGAGTGAGTGAGTTCATTTAATTAATTGCTCCTCCAAGATCCGGGCTTTTAATCGGAAGCCATGTATCACATAAATCAAATATTTATGGGATTCGAAGAATCAGATACTTCTGTAGAGGAACAATTGGTGATTTGTATTTTCCTTGTACGTACAAGAAACAAAACAAAGTACTGAACCATAACAAATAAAAAAAAAGGTTTTTGGTGGTTGGCCGGTATTCGATATATATAACTAACTATTCAATCTTATGGGCCGTTTACTTGCCATTCCATTTTTGTTAGCTGCCACAACAGAAAATAAAACTAAAATGAAAACGAAGCTGTCATTTCCTGGAAAACAAAAGCTGAAAAAACTTTGTTTAGCTGAGAATTTTGGTGAGTCTTGAAGTTGAGTTCTGAAAATAAAAACCTGGTTAGTTGCTTCATTTTGTTTTCTGATTCTTGATTATCATACAACTCTAGCCATGATTATAATTTTTAATTCGAATTAAATAGTTTTTAAACTACAAATAAACACAATACAAGTACAACATCTTATATTAATTAAGTTTTATATGACGCTAGAAACCCACGATCGATATCTTGAAAATGACGTGCTTCTTTTGTCTTATATGGCGCTAGAAACCCAGTAGTGTTTGCATATCCAGAATCAACAACATAATACTTACCTATAAGATATAAAATCAATTAGTCATATAAGATGTGTACTATAATTACTAAAATAAAGAGAAGCATTTCGTACCAATTGGTGGCATGGGAAAGTTGTTATCTGGGTTGGAAACTGTTTCAGTAAGAATTCTTGCATCATTTGGTGTACCCTCCCATCCAGCCATCGCAAAGGTAAAGAGCATATCGAAAGAACAAACGACCATTACATTCTGAGTAGTCGTCGTCTTCCGTCCTCGATATGGAATCTGCTCACCAATCGGAACCACTGCGTCAATATGAACTCCATCTATTGCTCTGATGCAATCCTAAATTCATGTGAGTAAATGTCATAATTAAAGTACATTCGAATATTAATCTTCAACTCTTCGGGGACATAGTCCTTATTGAACTTAATCTTCAACCCATTTTGGATGTTGTACCATCCCAATTTAGTGAAAGTTGTCGTATGTTTGTTCCCCTTCTTTACTTCCTCGAGCATCAAAGCAATGAAATACTCCACTACTTTATCAGGCCAAACCTCGCTTCCCTCAAGTATGACACAATCATTATTGTTTTCGACATCATTATCAGCCATTGCTTATCACGCTACAATTCAATACGAAATAAGAGATCACCAACAGATTGACATCAAACAAAACAAAAGAAGACATCATCATTTACAATCAAACTCGCAACACAAAACATGACCAAACCAGTGCAATTCATCATCACAAGCAAGCATGGATCGAGTCACTGACAGGAAGAGTAAGTACCTGGAATGGGTCGACAGCAGAAGGAGGAAGAAGTGCGGCTGGAGGAGGAATCGCTAGCAGCTTCGGTACTGGAGGAGGAATCGCTAGCCGCTTCTCTGCTGGATGGATGAGGAATCGAGAAGGGGAAAGCTCCTTCGGTGCTGCTTCTACTGGAATGAGTCGCTAGCAGCTGCCATTTCCGCCGGCTGGAGCTTCTCGCGTCGGGGAATCTTCCGTCTCGCAGATGATGGCGCGGGGCTGGCGAGGGAGAGGAAAATGATGGAGGCCGGCTGGAGCTTCTCGCGTGGGGGAATCTTCCGTTTCACAGATGATGGCTGCGCGCGGCTGGCGAGGGAGAGGAAAATGATGGAGGCCGGCCGGCAGGAAGGAGAAGGAGGGGGAGAAGGCAGGGGAGTGGAGTTTTTCGTCGACAAAAGAGGGGTCTGGGGGTCGGAACGGTGGCGTGAATGGCGTGAAGACTGGCAACAGCAGCGGCAGCAAGCCGGAATGTGGATCGACTGGGGACGAGTCAAAGGAAAACGACGGAACCAAGGGCGGCGACGACGACAGTTTCCTCGCCAAGTTGGCAAGGCTGAAGTTTTCGAAGTTTGTTGGAGAGGATCCTGGCGCATGGTTTCCATGAGTCGAACAATTTTTTGAGTATTAGGAGGTACCTGACGAGCTGTGGGTTCCGTTAGCATCCTTTCACCTCGAGGGAGAAGCTAATCAATGGTGGCAGTGGCTGAAACGCACGCACAAGGACGACATGGAACTGATTTCTTGGGAGCTGTTCTTTCAAGAAATATGGGCACGATTTGGGCCAACGGATGGGGAAAGCTATGATGAAGCCCTCCCTGGAATATGCCAGATGGGGTCCCTATACGAGGGGCCTTGGATGATAGAGGACCCGAAGGAAGGATATGATGTGCTAACCCACCTCCTGGTGTGGGTCCGCCTACTGAAGCTTCCGATAGATTATTATGATTCAGTGATTCTCCGAGATATTGGGAACTCCATAGGACAGTATCTGAAGATGTACGCAGCCACACGGGATGCTTCAAGGGGCTACTTTGCTCGAATATGTGTGGAAGTTGACCTGAATAAACCTCTTATAGTTAAATATCGGCTAGAGAGGCGCGCCCGACGACTCTAGCATGAAGGTCTTTGATAACACTGAATTTGCACATGTGTTTACTCCTAATTTCTTGATTGTTTAGATTGATATTTATTATAATTTGGTCTATTTTATACTAGCTTGTGTTCCTTTGTCACATTTCATATCCTATCACATAAAGGGAAGCATAGGTGCAAGTTTCAAGTCAAGCAGAGATCAATTGGCGATTCGGGAGAAGAAATTCGGGCATGACCAGAAGAAGAATAGATTTCTACCTTATTTTATGGACAAAGAATCATGTAAGCTTGTCATTAAAAGAAATAGGACGATACTATGAGAGTCTGGGATCAAACTGCGACTGATTCGGAGTTCGGACGAGGGAGAAACGAAGAATCAAAGACAGTGGAACAAGAGTTGAGGAAGAAACACAGGCAGGAGAAACATGACCATGTTTTCCCCTCCTATGCTTGTGTTTTTAGTGCCCAGAAGAAACACGGGCAGGGCTGAAACACGGGCTGAGAAACACAACCGTGTTTCTGCCCCCTACTCGAGTATAAGTTTGTTTTCTGCGATTTTTGAGGGAGAGAGCTAGGTTTTTTATCACAAACACCCAAGGGACGAACCCTGGAGAGAGCTACTTTGGAGGAATTCTTCGCCATTAAAGCTTGGGAATCAAGCTTGGAGATGGAGATTAAAGATCTAGCTCAGATTTTTGCATTCTCTCTCTTCTCTATGGAGTAACTTCTCTTCACTTAGGTTTTGAGGAACCCTAGTTCCATGTGTTAAGATCTTTCTTGTATGAACTTTTGGATACTTATTTGTTTTAATCAATTGAGGCATGATTTGTTGAGTCAATTGAATCTTGATTATATTCTCTTGATTTTTGCTTTAACTTATGATAGATAGAATATGATTAGGTTAAGAGAGATTCCTTGATTGATAGTAGTGAATTGATTGTGAGAGAATTAGTCAATTCATTGCTTTGTACTGGAATTGATTCAAAGTAGCGGAGATCTGCGTGAATCTCCTTAGTAGTTTATCCCGGTGAAGGCTAGTCGCCTGCAGGGTATTCTGACTAAAAGGCATTGGTTAGCTGAAGAGATTCCAAGCTATTTTAAGATCGTCCGCAGTCTAATCAACAGTAAATCAACCAAATAAAATTAAAACTTGTACCTAATTGAGGAGATAGGAGAAATCATACCTGAGTGAGTTCCCAACATGTAATTAGATTAACTTTAACAGTAGTTTGCTAGAGTAGTTATAGTTATTCTATCTTAATCTGGTTTGCTAGATAATGAACTAAACCTGAGTAATAGTAACTCTAGAGACCCGTGGATTCGATATTTATTACTTGTGCCACTATACTGCAGTCCTTTCATTGGTTACACTAGGCCATTGTTAGAAGTTGTGTTTTAGCGAGTCAAGTTATTGGTGCCGTTCTCGGGGAATTTCTAGATTATTAAGAAAGACAGAAGTTTGTTAATAGTTTTTCTTTCTTTTGTTTTTCCTTTTCACCCTTGCTTTTCACTTGGATGGTTTTGTTTTTGTTGGTGCAGATATGAATCATGGATCCTCATGGCTTCTCCAATCACCGGGGGTATCCACAACCATCCGAGTGTTATTACCCTTAGACTTCCTGGAGCAATTAAGGAGGAGAAGACTATGGATTCGGGTTCAAGTACCAACTCTCCTACTACGTAGAACAATCAGGCCTTTGGGAACCTCAAGAATAATCTCAATATCAAGAAGAATTTCTCCCATAACTAGAAGCGCCATCGGAGCTGGAGTTAGCCATGGCAGCCTTCACGGGCCACTCTGCAGAGCCATGCTACACTCCACTGGCAGATCCAAACAAACAATTGAGGCTTCTCGTGGAGCAGTTTTCTCGAGGCACTGAGAGATCATGCTCCAAGATGGATCTTCATATCAAGCCCATTGCCCAAACTCAGTTCTCCTACCGAGAAATAGAGGAGACCCTCCTGAGCATAAAGAATCACATAGAGGTCATTGATCGGGTTTGAAGGTTTCTTGGCTTCATCGCTGTTGTTGTTTATTTTTTGGGGTTCCCTTGTGACTTGCTCCTACCGTCAATCTAGAAAATGGCCAAGTGTAACCACCTCCTAAAGCGTAGTATAGCGGGTTTGGGTTTTAATGTCAACCCGGGTCCTAGATGTGATGACTACTCAGTGAATTCTTATTATCTAGCAGTGAAACTTTAGTGCAGGTTCAAATAAGCAAACAAGCAAAGCAATTAAACAGTTGTTTTCAAGTCGAGAGAGGTCAGCCGGATATGGTTCCCCCTAGACTGCAGTTAAGCCGGATTGTAATTTACCAAGTTCAATTTCAATGATAGTTATACTGCGGGAGGTTCTTAAACAGTCTGAAGTCTCGACTAAGGTCTC